AATTTCAGTCTGGCTATAATGCAAACTAAGTCTTACCTATTGTCCTACAGGAATATTGATGGCAGGCATCCGGGCAGCACTTCTTTTCACCTTCACATTGTGTGTCATTCTCACAGGGAGTGCCACATATCCCTAGGGCTCTCTCCTTCACCTCAGGGCAAGAAGTCATGTTCACTGCATGAAAATATTGACATTAGATGATTGCACACCAGCTTTCAGGCTTGTAAAATCTACTGATCACCCGACAGACCATCTCTGTGTCAGGAGGACAGTTATAGTTGAGGACAAGTGTGTGTTTAAATATACTTCCTCTCTGCTTTTGGTGAGTAACAGGGCAATAAAAGGGACACTGTTAACACCATAACTGCTTCATCTCATTTAAGTGGATATAGTATCTGGAGTCCACTGGTGCCATCCTTCCATACACCATAAAACCATGTTTGATATTTGTAACCCATTTCCTCTATACTGCTTGGGCTAATGAGGAAGCATTAGCCCGAGCAGCAGCTGGTAACTGTGAATGGCTGAGAGTTTCAGATGACTTATTTAAGCTTATCACAATAGCATTGCTGGTATTATTATTATTTTATTATTTATATAGCGCCATCAGATTCCGTAGCGCTGTACAAAGGATGAATCATTATGGCTACAAGGAAGTGTGTAATCTGTGCCTTAGCCACACCTCCAGTGTGGGTGGGGCTATTAGAAGACAGGGACCCTCATTCATAAACTGCTTGAAAATGGTTTAACCCTGAAGGGAGGGACAGTGTGATGAAATGGTTATAGTGCTAGGATAATGGCCAACAATTCTCTGTTACCAATATCATAATTGTGTTCAGCGGGAGACAGCTTTCTAGAAAAGAACCCACATGGAAGCAAAGGTATATCCTGACTCTCCCTTTGAGAAAGAACAGCCCCCACCCCAGTTTCGGAGGCATAAACCTCCGGTATGAAGGGTTTACTGGTGTCAGGATGTATTAATATGTCGGCAGAAGCAAACCTTTAAGAAGTTCAAAGGCTTCTCTAGCTTCCACAGACCACACTGTACAAATAACCCCCTTACGTGTTATATTGGTGATGGGGGCTATTACAGAAGACAACCCTTTGATAAATCTCCTGTAATAGTTCGCAAACCCAATAAACCTTTGGATGGCCTTTAGTCCGCTAGGCAATGGCCAATGTATAACAGCCTCTAGTTTCTTAGGGTCCATTTGAAAACCAGAGGCAGAAATTTTATACTCCAAAAACTGTACTTCAGTCTGATCAAACAAGCATTTTTCCAGTTTGCAATAACGTTTATTTTCCAATAAAGTCTGCAAGACCTGTTTGACGTTTTTGTGGTGGGTCTGAAGGTCAAGGGAATAAATAAGGATATCATCCAGGTAAACCAGGACAAATGAGTAGATATAATCTCTAAGTACATCATTAATAAAGTCCTGGAATATGGCCGGGGCATTGCATAGCCGGAAGGGCATAACAATGTACTCATAGTGCCCACATCTAGTATTAAATGCCGTCTTCCTCTCAGTATTTTCCTTAATCCTTACCAAATTGTATGCACTCCTGAGGTCAAGTTTAGTAAAGATCTTAGTGCCCTGAAGTCTGTCAAACAATTCGGAAATGATGGGAATGGGATAGGCATTCTTAATGGTAATCTTGTTTAATGCTCTGTAGTCGATGCATGGACATAACTCTCCTCGGTGGTGGGGACTCTCCGCCTCCTTTCCCCATCATCTGCGGAATGCGCATGCGCGCATTCAGCCAGTCCATAGGAAAGCATTCTCAATGCTTTCCTATGGACGCTGGCGTCTTCTCACTGTGAAATGAGAAGACGCCACTAGAGGCTGCCACTAGAGACAGCCACTAGAGGCTGGATTAACCCATAGGTAAACATAGCAGTTTCTCTGAAACTGCTCTGAAACTGCTATGTTTACAGCAGAAAGGGTTAATCCTAGATGGACCTGGCACCCAGACCACTTCATTGAGCTGAAGTGGTCTGGGTGCCTATAGTGGTCCTTTAAGGGAAACTATCACTTGAAATTGCACATAGTAATAAGAAATAGAAAATCAGATATAACTTAGTAAAACTTTCTGATACTCCAATTTCTTTCACTCCATTTTAAAATTATATCACCAAGTTAGCAAGTGACATCACATTCCATTTCAGTCAAGTCACAGTCAGGGCAAATGAGGAGGGAAAATATAAACATTGTCTAATTTCTTCTCTTCACTGTATGCTTTCTCTGTGTGGACTGCCTGGTGCAAAGGACAGAGTTTATAAGAATGACTGACAGAAAGCCAAGATGGAGATTGCCAATTGCACAATAAAAGTGCATTGATTTACATATTTAGCTATTTTTTACACTTTGCGCATACATCAGCTCTGTATTTAGCACGAGCAGGGCCGTCTTTAACGCGGGGCAAAAGGGGCAGTTGCTCCAGCCCTGTCATCCTAGGGGGCCCAAAGCAGCTGCCCCTTCAGCCTGTCGGCCGCTGTAGTCCATGTTGAACTACCACCGCGGGTCACACTGAGGGGGCCCATCTGGTGGCCAATGATCTATGGGCAATATATTTGCCCATAGACCATGTATTTTCGGGGGCCCGGTGAGTGCTGTGGCGCTGTGATGATGTCACAATGCTAGGAGGAGGTCACTGCCTCCCAGCATTCATGAGCGCCGCGCGGGAGGAGAAGAAGGAGAGAAGGGAGTCAGAGCTGACACTCATCAGCCTGAGGCAGCCACTGGACCATAGGGGAGTCACCTTCTTGCACCTAAAAGGTAGGACACAGGAGGGTGACTTAAAAATGTAAATTTTGCATGTTTGTCTGTATGTGTATCTGTTTTTGTGTGTCTGTGTATCTGTTTGTATGTGTGGCTGTATGTATGTTTATCTGCACGTGTGTCTGTGTTTGTGTGTCCATTTATGTATCTGTATGTCTTTCTGTGTGTCCGTATGTGTATCTGTGTATCCGTATGTCTATCTGTGTGTCTGTATCTGTTTTGTGTATCTGTGTCTGTATGTGTATCTGTTTATCCGTATGCCTGTGTGTCTATATGTCTGTGTGTCTGTATGCATATGTGTGTCTGTATGCCTATCTGTGTCTCTGTATCTGTTTGTACGTTTGTAACTGTGTGTCAGACCGCTCAGGGGAAGAGCTCCCTCGCCAGCCGCCTGCCTAGCCCAGCCGGCATCCACTGGACCACCAGGGAGGTAATGAACCCCTCCCCCCCAGCACTCCCAAAGGTAAGGGGGGGGGGGCTAAATAAAAATAAATTAAAAAATGTGTTAATGTGAGTGAGTGAGTGTGTGTCTGTTAATGTGTGTGTGTTTTGTTAGTGTGTGTGTGTCTGACTGTGTCTGTTAGTGTGTATGTGTGTGTGTCTGATTGTGTGGCAGTGAGTGTGTGTTTGCCTGTGTGTGTTTGCCTGTGAGTGTGTGTGTGTCTGTTAATGTGTGTGTGTTTGTTAGTGTGTGTGTGTCTGCTAGTGAGTGAGTGTGTCTGTTAGTGTGTGTCTGACTATGTTTGTCTATTAGTGTGTCAGTGAGTGTGTGTGTGTCTGACTGTGTGAGTGTGTTTGCCTGTGTGTGTGTTAGTGAGTGTGTGTCTGTTAGTGAGTGTGAGTGTGTCTGTTAGTGTGTGTGTGTTTCTGTTAGCGAGTGTATGCGTATCTGTCAGTGAATGTGTGTGTGTGTGTAGAAGGCGGGGGTTGGTTGCAGGGGGGGTTGGTGAGGCGCCTGCGTTTTGTCCTGCCTAGGGCAGCACAAAACCAGGATACACCACTGCGTGTGTAACTGTGTGTCTGTATGCATATCTGTTTGTCTGTGTGTTTATCTGTGTGTGTATTTGTCTGTATGTGTATCTGTGTGTTTGTATGTGTATCTATGCATGTAAATGTTTGTCTGTATATGTGTCAGTGTGTGTATCTAAATGTGTATGTGTGTTTTTATTTGTTTATTTATTTTTTGTGTGGGGCTGGAGTTTATGATTGCATGCTAGGCCCAGGGGGCCAGAGCAAATGCCTGCCCTGGGTCCAATCAGTATTAAAGACGGCCCTGAGCACGAGGTGGATAAGGCATTTGCCTTGGGTGGCACTTTAGGGGGGCAACAAAAAAAACATCTTAAAGAGCCATCTTAGAGAATCTATCAACGATCATTAGGATGACCGTTTTACCATTGGAAGGAGGAAGTTCAACAATAAAATCCATGGACAGATTAGACCAAGGTCTCTCGGTATAGGTAAAGGTTGTAACAACCCACAAGGAGCCCTATGGGAGGACTTCATACTGGCATAAGTGACACATTCTTGTACATAATTGGTAATGTCCTTGCCCAAAAGTTCTGTTAAACTGCAATTAAAGCTTTAGAAATATCAGGATGCCCGGATGTCTTGGTATCATGATAGAGTGACATAATGTCTCGTCTTTCAGTGAGAGCAACAAATAACTTATCAGCAGGTTTCTCCCTAGGTGCTTCGTTTTGTTTTGTTTGTATAACGTGTAGGATAAACGAAGACATAGAGAGAATAGTAGCAGCGATGATC